CTTCCTTACATTGCGACCAGGTCCAAAACGCAATATAAACTTTCCAATGCGCTCTGTCTAACAAGCATGAGTATGAGCAAGGTATAAGCAATCACAGATAATTAAATAAGCGCTATTCATGAACGAGTATTGCTTAAATTTAATAATTACAGGTTAATCGAAGTATAGGGTTGATTCCTTTATAAAATATTCCTATCAAACTTCAGGGAAGTTTTTGACAATATCAATATGCTAATAGCAAATAGCAAATGATAAATGATAAATAATAAATAGTGATAGATAATAAGCTAATGGTGTTTTATAATATAATGGGTTTACATATACATAAATAATTAAATAAACACACACACACACACACACACACACACACACACACACACACACACACACACACACACATAACATACCACACACACCGCCACGACCACGGCACGCACGCAACGCCACGCACCACACACACACACACACACACACACACACACACCACGTCATATACATAATATATATATATATATTATCATCGATTATCAGTATTTAATACATTCCGTCTCTTCCCGCTTTTCAATTTTTAACTGTATGATATTTCAATAACACGAAACAAACGTAATCGTGTAACATATTCATGTGAATATGCACACTAGTTTTACTATTGCTGCTGACGGTGTATAATTTTTTCAAATAAAATATTGCATATTTAATCTTTAATTATGATTAAACTATAATATATACCTTCGTATAAGTTCACACCTGATGCTTGCGGTTGTACGCCCGATGACGGATGTTTTGCCGAAGCGCACGCAATGTAACTGCGCAAAAATCCGGCCGTTGGGCGATACTACTACACGCCAGACAGCCAAGTTTGGCGGATAAAGATAGACTCTCTAAAACATTTTTCTCAGAGTTTCGGCAATTCACTTCTTTTTGTCACCACTGGCAAGCAGTAATAATCGTCTGCTAGGGTATGACGTCAAACTTCTTGACTGTTAGCGCTACACACGTCGTGAGCGGCGGTGGAAGCATATGTAACGAAACTTCTTATGTTACTTGATGTTAATAGATTCTGATGTGTATGCATATAGCACAAAGGACATGAGATAAAAGAAAGCCGAGTTATACGCATGGTTCGAAGTTATAGATTCATGCAGTTAAATGCTCGGTACTTTGAATGTACAGAAAGTGACAGAGCTGTGGTCGCGGTCCGTGCGTAATTCGAGCCTGGTTGGGAAGAGCGCAAAATTCCCGGACTTCCTTGCGCTCCCCTTATAATACGCGTGGGCACGAACCGCGCAACCAGCATGCGCGTTCAGCGATTCCGCGAGTGCTCCTGGGCTCGAGATAATCTATATTATGGAATCCTCGGAGGATCCTCTCGGACTTCAAAAGCCGTCCGCTAATCCCATTACCGCCCGGCTTCGAGGATCCTCTCGGACCTCAAAGAGACCCGCTAACTGCATTATTGGACTCCTCCGAGGATTCCCTATCCTTCACCATGGCGCCGGCTAATTGGTCACGTGCCTTCTAAGTGATAGGTCACTTAGCGGCACTCGCCACTGTAACTCAATTATAGAATGCCGGCCGCGCACTCATGGTGGTAACTCACTTATAGAATGCCAGCATCGATACACATATATACACATACATACGCGGATACTGAGCTATTGATTGCCGACGGTTGCTAGGGGCAACGCCGTAGAATGGGTGTAGCGTAGATATATAGGCACACATACCGATACACATAAATACGGATATATACGCGGATACTCAGCTATTGATTGCCGACGGTTGCTAGGGGCAACACCGTAGAATGAATGCAGCGTCGCGGGGAGTCCGCGTCGCATGAGAGGGGGGGTTGCCTTGTAACGTGGTTGTTACATTTCTCCCCCCACTAAACCGATGTACACCTGTGAACATCGATTCCCAGCCTCCCGGCTGGTCTAACGCGTAGTGGTATCTATTCCAGTTTGTGTTTATTTTATTATATTTATGTTTAAATTTTTTTTTTTTTTTCGTACAGTTTACGGCCGAATTAATCCGAATGTAGCAGGAATACCGAAATTACACAGAAATGGATACCGGGAACGCTATGAACACCCTAATTACAACACTATCCTAGACAATACACTCATACAGAATACAGGCAATGCCGCGCTACAACAAATACATGGAATGCAGTAGAATGTTATACAATGAATGCAATAGAACGAATACTGTGCAATACAATACAATACAATGCAATGGAGTTACAATCAATATTAATCAATGTTACACAATATTACATATACTAATAGCATAGAATGTGACAATAGCAAGGTTACACAATATTACATATAGGAATACCGTAGAATGTGACAATACCAAGAAAACAACCAACTCCACCGAATTGAGTTAATCGAGGAATATCGCGCCGTCCTGAGGGTCGGCCTCCTCCCCGCGTTCGGTGGGGGCGGGCTGTTGGCCCGCCATGGCGAGGGTCCTGACGTCCCCGTCGTCTCCGTCCTGCTCGGTCTCCATCCCGCGGGGGTGTTCCGGGCGGGGTGTGTCGCACCGCGGGTCGGCTTCTTCGCCGACCTCGAATTCGCCCGCCGTCGGGTCGGCGGCGGTGTCTGACCCGACGGAGGAGCCAACAACGTACCCCTGGTCGGGCCGAGGTGCCACCGGGAGTCCTGACCACGCTGCGCGTGTAGGTGGTGTTCGGCGGCGATGAGGGCGTCGAGGGCCAGGTTGGCCGTGCACTGTCGGAAGCGCACTGGGTGGTAGGTGGTGGGGTCGGGGTTGCCATCTTCGCCGATCTGGAACGTGCAACCAGTCGGGTAGTCTGACCCAACGATGGGTGCGACGTAGTCCCGGTGCATGGTGGCGGGACGTGGGGCCCCGTCATCGAGCTCCAGCTCAACTTGTAGGGGCTCGTTGATGGCGGTCGGCCCGCTGAAGGAGCCGTCGTGGTGCCCCGCCGGGAGCGGGCACTGTCTGCCGAGGTCCGACGAAGTGGTGGGCAGATAGCGACGGGGGGGTCCGGCTCCATGTAGGGTTGGCGCGGCGCCACCGTGCCGATGAATCGGGCGTGCTGCGGCGGGGCGGTGTGCATCCGTCGTCCCCGCTTTGCGACGCAGGCGGCGCAGGGGCAGAGGGCGCTGTCATAGCAGGCCTGAGCGTAGGCCGCACCGACGGAACAGGCGATGCAGGCGCAGGCAGCCCCCGCGCAGGCGTAGGCGCGGGCAACCTCCTCGCAGGCGGCGCAGGCACGGGCGGCCTCCGTGCAGGAGATGCACGTGCATGCGGCGTTGGCGCACACGGCGCAAGCGCAGACAACGTTCGTCACTTGGCACGGCGGCGGTTGCGGTGTGGTGGCGTTGGCACGGGGTTGGCCCCCGTCGTCGTAGCCATTAGCGTGGTTCTGACAATGTCAAGTGGTAGACATAACACGTGGCACAGGGTTATAGTCGGGACAGTAACTACTAGTGACTGCCCGGCGCGTGCCATAGCGGCACGAGACTGTGTTTAGCGTGCGGTCGCGGATTTCCGCCGAATATAGAAATCGATGCGTCGCCTCAAATGGCTAACGACTAACTACTCTACTTGTGCTAGCGGTAGACGCTGCACGTTGTCGGA